TAGTGGTCCAATTCTTCAATTTTATTGTCCAGTCTTGGTATTTTGTTTTCCATTTCATTCATTCTGTTGGTGAGGCTTTTTCCTGTCATTTCAAATTTGCTTATTGTGGTTTGCAGTTCCATCTTCATTTAAGTCTGAGTTTTCTTCAATATTTCTTTTTCATGAATTCACTTTTCAAATCCTGAATTGTCTTTGTTATTTTATTTGCCCATATATTTTATTTTGAGTTTTTTTCTGGAGTTTATCCCTGTCCTCTTTGAGTTCTTTGAGTTCTTTGAGTTGTTTGTGTGTTTTTTAAATTTATTAAATTCCTTGCCCATGTTTATAATTGTTCTTTTTGTATCCTAGGGTCCCTCTAAGTAGGTCTCCCTATAAAACACTTCTATTTTTCTTCCTATTTTTCTCATTGTGGTCTGGGTATGCATATTTATTTTGTTACTTGTGTATCTGATTTGAAACTCAAGCCTGCCTTTGTTGAGTTGAATTTTGATTCTGTTTATACTGTTGGTGTAGCATGGTTGCTTTCTGATCTGGTCTGAATAGTTTGTCTGGGTTTCAGTTTCTCTCTTTTGACTCTTTGTTGGAGGTACTGGGTAAATCCAGGCAAGCTAGTCAGGAGCTCTCCAGGAAGGCAAAAGAGCCTAGGCCCAAAGTTGAAGTACTGGGTATCAGCTGGGCCACTTCTAACTTGCTAAGCAAAGAAGGTGTGAGCAACTGGGTCTGGATTCAAAGCAGGGTGGTAGTGACCCAGCTTGACAGGATCTGGCTATCTCTCCTGGCTAGTCAAGTGCTCTCTGCCATCCTCAGTGGGACACCCAAGGACCAAGGAGAAGGCCTCCATTTTCCTGTTTTAATTATATTTATATTTTGTGGCTCATATGATGGAATGATTTTACTTTTGATTGGTTGGGCTATCTCATTGAATATTATCCTAATTAGAGAAATTGCCATCATTTGTACCAGTTGAAAACTGAGTCATTGCTATGGTTGTTTTTAGAGTCCTATCAAGTGCCAGGCTTCAGAGCATAAGTCGAGCTGCTTTCTATAAATTTATGTATTTTGGGAAATTCACATAAAAGAGAATAGAGACCTAAGACCCACTTGGAAACATACAAACAATAGTAGCCACCGACCAGAAAGAGAAAGCCATAGGCTTATCTGCAAAGGTTGAAGGATGCTGAGACCTGTGGAGCCAGGAAGTGGATGACTGACTGACTCTACAAGGCTTCTCAGGAAGGAATTTTTTCTGAGAGTGAAAGCTGAGTAGAGTTTGAATGGGTTTTCTATGTATATTGGTTGAAAATGTTTTTCAGTCTGTTTAGGTTATTAAGGTCTTTTGTTCCAGTTCTGACACCTGTTTTGTTCTTATATTTTGATCATTAACAATGTACAATAAGCCATATCCCAAAATGGTTTTGAGATATGACAAACATAATAACATATGCAAACACATGCATGCAAATACACACACACACATACACACACACACACACACACACACATACACACACACACAACCAATCTGAGAAGTCTAGATTTTTAAAGTAAACTGATGAAGATTAAACCTGTCTTTCGAGCATATATACTGCCATTAGCTATGAAATACTTTGAACTCTTTGTTAATGTTTTCTCCAAACAGGCATTTCTTTCTCAGATTTTATGTATATTTTAATGCACAGTTTCTTTTATTTGGTCTGTCCTGCCTTTTTAAAATATAATTTTAACTGCTTCAGTTTAAATCACAGAACAGAGTATTACCAAAGAGTCGATTAGTTGCTTTTATTTTTGCCTGGAAATATTTTTATGATAATTTGTGATAGGCAACAATACAAATACTTTATGGACCACTGAGTTTTTAATTACTGTTTCATTGAGATAGAACTCTCAGTTTAATTTGCTGCAGGGTATTTGTATCAAAGGCCTTGTCAGCCCTCTGGAGAGAGATTTTAAAGTTAATCCCTTCCAGTGTATGGGTCTCTGGAGTAGGATAAATATTGTAATATTAAATATGTAGCAAACTATAAACAGTCTCTGTAAGATTCTTTCTTTATAAATACATTTAGTTTAAAAAATATTATAAGAGGTTGGTGTTATATATAAAGTAATGCCTTTATTAAACACTCAATACGTGGTTATCTCAAAGTGCTGACTCTATGATGTGGATGAAAGAATTCCCTTACTTTATCTTAAGGAAATTTAGTTCACAGTCTTTCTCCCATACTCTTGTCCTGTGTTGTTTTCTGGTGGGTAGAGAGAATTGAACACAGGCCTTTGGCATGTGAGATTATGTACTCCATTACTGAGAAATACCTTAGCCCATACTCATATTTTAAGTAAGATACTTTAAACTGCTTATTATGTCTTACAGTATTTCATCAAAGACTTGATGAATATACGTCCTTTGCAAAAAATACCAAGTTGAGCCAGAACAATTAAATGGCCAGGAAGCAACTCAAGCTGAACATTTGATAGCAACAAAATAATTATATTTCAATTACTTAATAGTCATTGGTATTGAAACCTCAGAAATGTTTTAGAGAGATATCATAAATGTCTACAGAATTTTGAAGCTGAGCTCTGTGTGAAGGTGATGGAATCTACTCACTTAAATTACAATGAGAGTGAGTCTCCTGGGTAAGAACTGATTGATGCAGGCAGTGAATGACTCTGTTGTCACACTGATGAGATATTTCAACTAGGTTCATATATAGTCTATCAAATCTTTCTTTTAAAGTGGTCACAAACCATTTCAGAGTCTCTTATTAAAATTTAACACATTGCTAAAAGTATTGGTGAATATGAAAAATCCATAAAGGATGTAGACTTTTAGTGAATGAGACATTTATTGAAAAATGAAAAGAAACAAACCTATGTTCTGTCCAAACAATTGAATTGACATGTCCTCCGATGCTGTGACATAGATTATCACAAGAGTGATGGACTTCTAGCAGCCATTGCTTTATATCCCTTTTACTTTATGTTTGAAAGTTGAAGAAAATGAGGGCGAGAAAATCTTCAGGATAATTTTTTTAGGTTTAATGCATTTAGTGGAGTAGGGAATGAGAGGGTAAGGCTGAAGACAAAGTACGAGGAGAGATAGCTAACACTTAAAGACCTTTTGAAAGTGCAATATGGAAACCCACTGTAGCAGCTTATTTCAATATATACATATGCAAAATAGAAAGTTTAAATGTAATTACCCTGTAATAGACCTACTAGAGACCACATGGTAGCAAATGAAAAGTTCACTGTCAGAAAATGTCTCCCTCTTTTGGAGTTGTTGACCAGAGCAATCCTATGGAACCTCAAACAGTTTTGCCTATTGCCATAGCACTTGATTATTCACCAGAACCTGATAGTAAGACCCTATTGCTGAAGACATTATATACCTGGGTCACAGAAGAAACAAGAATTTAAGGTGGGCCTGACTTCAAAGCTTCATCTCCACTGGCTAGCTTTCATAGTACTATGAGGTACTATGCTTGAAAGGTAATCATGAACCTTAACCAGCTGTGAATCCTGTTAAGTTACAGTAAAAACCAGCTTGGCAAAATATGCCCACTGGCTCAATAGTGACATGAATGCTATGAGAGTAACCAACCATCTTATAATTGGATTTAAGGCCTGTCTCACAAGATGGAATTCATATCTGATACTGTTATCAGAGCCAGGAATCTGTGATTAGAGAGGTCATAGTCTATAGGGAAGAACTTGTTACTCTCATTCTGCTTAATAGACATAATATTAAACTGCCTCCTAATGACTTACTGTTATACCCATAGATTAGTTTGTCTCTCAGCTTTCACAAGAGAACCTTCTTCTTGCAGCACAGAAACCCACAACTGGTCAGTGTACAGAGAATAAGAGACTACACTACTTATCTCTAAATGGAAAAATTTATCCCACCCTCTCCTCCCAAGGCTCAGGAATCATTGCAGAAGATGGGGTAGAAAGAAACTGTGTTAACTGGACTCCACAGGGTAAATTGCACATGTGAATCCACAGCAGTTATGATAGCATTCATAAGACCTGTGCAAACCCAAGCCAGACAGGGGCCCAGCATGGATGGAAGCATGCAGGAAGTCACAGCCCTGAGTGTCTATTTGCAGTTAATAGATACTGGGAGAAGGAAGGTCAGTTCCTTACTGGTGTTATGCCTGGAAGGATGGCCAGACTTCAAGGGATCAACCCACATTCAAGATGTATTATATAAAAGCCAATGAAATTCAATAAAAAATATTTTAAAAATACATTTTTAAAAAAGGTTAAGAAGATAACTGAGTCAGGAGTATATACAGACATCCAGCCTGGAATTCCCTATGTAAACCAGGTGGGCCTCAAACTCATAGAGATCCACCTGCTTTCTGCCTCCTAAGTGCTGGGATTCAAGATGTGCATTTTAAAAGCATAATTTTTATTTTTAACATATTTTGAAATTGTATACATGAATACATGAACGTATTTCAATCAGATCTACCCCACTTCCTCCCTTTCAGTTCCTCCATGCTTCCTCCTTCTCAATTGCAGGTCATCATCATCATCATCATCATCATCATCTATTATTATTATTATTTACACACATATAAAATACTGAGTCTAATTAATGTTGCTCATATTCACTGGGGCATGAGCAACTACCAGGGAGCTCATCCTTGAAAAAAATTGATTTTCCTTCATTACCAGGTCCCTACTGCCTGTATCTCCTCAACTAGCCCTTATGAGGGAAGGGCTTCCCTTCCCTCACCCATGCTGGAAATGTTGAATTAGTTGTGGTCTTGTGCAGATATTGTGAAAGTAACTGTAACTGTTGAGAGGTCATGGATAAAATTTTATCAAGGTAGAGCTAACTTCTCTAAATCTTTGACTATGACATTTCTCCAATGCAATATGAAAAAGTGGTATTAAATGAACTTAGTTAAGATATGAGATACCAAGGCCTTTTAAACACTGTTTAGTACTTAAGAGCATTTGCTAAGTGATATTACTTTTTTGTTTTATAGTGTCCTGATTCAGCATGTAAGCAGGATTTATTAGCCTACCTTCAGCGGATTGCCTTGTATTGCCATCAGCTTAACATCTGCAGCAAAGTGAAAGCAGAAGTTCAGAATCTTGGAGGAGAGCTCATTGTGTCTGGGGTAAGCTGGAGCTCAGGCTTCACAAAAATCAAATTCCCACTGCTGTACTTCTAAGGCTTGCACTCTTGGCAACAGTACCACTAGAAACACCAAATGACAGTAATTCACAGAGAATATTTTTAAAATAAATATCACCATTATTCCAGACCTTACAATAGTTCACAAAGCAATTTGATTTTCCAATTACCCTGAGTTTATACTAGCCTTGTAAAATCTCAATTCTTCATGAGAAAACTAGTTTCATAGTCTGGAAACTCATTGCCAAGCTGTGACTATTACAATTTGGGGGACTTTTGCATATTTAGTCATTCTGAGTCTTCTTCCCCTTTGTTAGGCTTGTAATTTTCATTCTCTGTTCAGGAGCCAACCTCTCGATGTGAGCTCAGACTGTGTTCACATGTTAGAGATGATGAAACATGTATCAGGTTCCAATGCATACTAGGTTATCAGTAACTTTTGAAGGTCAGATGTTTGAACTTCTTAATACAGGTTGATGTGCTGTTGCCAAAACCCAACATAGTTGTCAAACACTAATAGATATAGTCTTTGCTAAGTCACTTCAATGTTTCCCTCTCATGAACCTATAATTACCTAACCCATTTCCATCAAATATGTAGAAACAAGTTCAGTGACTATTTAGAAGAATCATGATTTCTTGGCAAGGTTTCCAAATGTATGTGTTGAGGTTCTTCACCTTGGCTTCTTCTTCTCCCTCATCTCCTCCTTCTCAACACAGGGTGACATTTATTGCAAACGATTTGCAAATTCAAAAGTGTGGCTCTGCTACCCTTAGTTCTTTTCCCAGTGAACTTCTGATGTGACCACTTTACCTGTAGAATTACAAGAAACATAACACTATTAATGTAGTGAATGACAACAAAAGCTCAGTTCTTTCTTAAACAGTTTTTGTTGTTTGTAAATTCAACAATTTGACAATTTGGTAAAGCTACCTGGAGAAGTCATAAAGTCGCTCTCAAACCCAAAATGTTCCATTTCCTATGTGGTTTGGCTGGCTGAAAACACAGCTGGGGAAAGAGCTGATCTGGCATGCACCGACATTCCATCTTGTAAGCTGGTTCCATGCAGTCCTACCTTAGAGCTCAGTCAAATGGCTATTTTGTGCCTCTTCCCAAAGCACAGCCACCTCTTTGCATTTCAAAAATGATTCTGCTTTAACATTCTTCCAAGCCAAGAGCAATCTGTCTTGCAATGTGTCCTTCTGTACAGCTGGTGATGATCAGTGCTCTCTCGCCAAGAAGTGATCAAACATTGCTTGGTCTCCAATCTTCAGCTTGATAGTGTATTTTCCCATACCAATCTGCTTTCATGCCCATCTGTACAAAGCACCTGTAGAACCTAATGCTTTTTGTCCAGCTTGCCGTGTGTGCTTTCATGTGTTTCTTTCCCAATCTTATGATTTCCATGGATGCACAGTGCATCTTTGTGGCTCGCAAACTCCAGGAATCTCATCTAGGCGCTATTTTCCTGGCAGAGCCGGCTGCTTTCCATCACCGTCTCGGTATACACTGTCCATCACCACCCTTCTCGGTACACACTGTCCATCACCGTCTCGGTACACACTGTCCATCACCGTCTCGGTACACACTGTCCATCACCGTCTCGGTACACACTGTCCATCACCGTCTCGGTACACACTGTCCATCACCGTCTCGGTACACACTGTCCATCACCGTCTCGGTACACACTGTCCATCACCGTCTCGGTACACACTGTCCATCACCGTCTCGGTACACACTGTCCATCACCGTCTCGGTACACACTGTCCATCACCGTCTCGGTACACACTGTCCATCACCGTCTTGGTACACACTGTCCATCACCACCTTCGCAGCTTCATTTGCACTGTCTCTTCCTCATGTAGATGTAGCACAAACCATCATGGCTTTTCATCACTTGAATTGTTGGCATTTGCAGAGGTGTTCAAGGTTGAGAACACCATCAAGAAGCCTGTTTCCATCTTTGAGTCTTATTGGCAGAGTTCATAAATCCTTGCATGGGAGAAGGCTCCTTTTAGAGGAATGCTACACAACTCTATAATTCAGTTAAATACGTTATGAACGTTGGCTGCCATCCTGTTCAGTTATGGTCCTGCTCAGGCCTCCTCATGATTTATTTTTCAAGCTTGACTGCTGTGTGGTGCCACATCTGCATCTGTAGCTTGCTGTCTTTTCCACTTCTGCTTTCATCTTATTCTTCATCCTCCTTCACTAGTGGCCAAAATGGACTTTAAAAAAAAAAGAAGATAATATATGTATTGTGCAAAATAGCCACAAATCACTGCCTTCAAAGTTCAGAAAGAGTCAAGAATGTGAGACCCCATACATATATTTTAAATGATTTTACCAAGAAAATTCCACCAGTGTTGTGGAGCCTGTTCACTTTGTTCTTCATTGTGACATGGTCACTGTAGTTTTCAGGAGAGGCCATGGCAGTTTCATGTATGAAAGGAGTTTTCTTCAGTGAAAAGAGATTCTTGAATCCTCTTTCCCATTTTCCACATATCCCTGGTGTTCAACAATATGGTTTCCCCTTTGAAATGTATGAAAGCTACCAGGAAAGTTATCTTTATTAGAATAATAGAGGTTTGGACAGATTATCCACATTTTCCAAGAAAAATGGTTTTATTTTGAAATGAGAACGCTATGTTAAAGTGATCTTATGCTGGCATTATGAACACATGTTAAGTAAAACACACAAGTATGTACCATGTCAGCATATCAATGTTTTGTGTGATTCTATATGTACAAGCTGGGAATGGCCTGCTGAGTGTGTGTGCTTTTCACTTAAGAAGATAAGGAAAATACATCGGAGAAATGGGTACAAAAACTCTGTGAGTCATGACGGGAAAGCACAGAAATAAAGCAGTACGAGGTATGTTTGGAAACTCATCCACACAACTGCCATCTGAAAAACACCACTCACTGACTGGTTATCCATTTCTTAAGTTGGCTTAAGCTATTCTTAATGGACTAAATGTGCAATTCTTATTAAATTTCAAGATAGAAGTTGCATTCATGAGCCAATTACTTCAACTGCATTTTAAAGGAAATAATAGGCAAATTCTTTTTAGACTAATGATAGAAAGGACAAAAGTAATAATAGTTTCAGAGGATTATGTAGCCAATTAATGTTTGAGCTGACCTTGTTTAATTTAGTGTTGTTTAAAGTTTTAAGTCAGTTTTAAGAAAAGAAATGAAGAAAGGAAAGAAAAATCATGAAAGAAGAAGGAAAAAAAAGAGGAAAGGGGGAAGAGAACTTTAACACAGAGTACAGAGATCAGTTTAGTGCACGTGGTTCTGTTAAATGTAACAGCAGTGTAAACACCATTGGAGGAATGTTGAACCAAAGTCATTTTGTCTTTTTAAAATTTGTGTTTGTGTGTATGTGTATTATGTGTCCGTGTCTCTGTGTGTACGTGTATTTGTGTATGTGTGTGTATATGTATATGTATGTGTGTATTTCTATGTGTCTCTGTGTAGTGCTGTGGTACGTAAAAGCATGTAGATGTTCACACACATGTAGAAGCATACCTGTGGAAGCCAGAGGTCAGCACTGGTTGTCTATCCTCAGTCACTCTCCAACTTTATTCTTTAAACGGGGACTCTCATTGAACCTGAAGCTCATTGACTCAGCTAGGCTGATTGCCTAGAGTACTTCAAGGATCTCCTTGTGTTTTCTCTTTCCACTGCTGAGGTTTGATGTGTGCACAGGCTGGGTTTTTTTTTTTTTTTTTTTTTTTTTTGTATAGTTCTGGGGATAGAACTCAGGTCCTGATGCTTGGTTGGCAAGCACTTTACTAACTGAATCATCTCTCTAGCCCCCAAGCCAAAGCTTTTGAAACTGTAAATAGCGTTTTAAACTATTTTGATCTGAGTTCTAAAACCATAATATAATGATCACTTGCATGTTTAATTATGATGTATTTGACTAATTTTTATTATTGGAATTCAGAAGATTTAGTCAGAACTTTTAATGTTAAAAACTGTATCTATATGGACCTGGAAAAAAAATCATCCCATGACATTGATAACTTTTATCTTCCCCAAAATTTATGGTTTATGTATTATTCTGCATGAGATTGGAAAAACTTGTGTAGAATTTTGTGATTATGCATACATACTGAAACTTAGACATCATGATAGTACAAAAACCCTAAAACTGCTTTAAAAGTTCAAAGATACCAGAAGTACCATTGAAAACAAGGCTGGGGCACAAGCACAGTAACCTCTACACATGAATTTCATGTTCAGATTAAACTAGGAAGGATTGTGGGTTTAATTTCTAGCCCACTGCACATGAAAATAGTATGATTTCTCCATATGAACTAATATATGATCAGAGTTTGGTGATGAGGAGTGTTCTTGCATTTCTTGGCCTAAATAAACAGAGCCCCGACTTGATTTTGAGGACAGAAGAAACTTGCTTGATATGCACTTTGGATCTTTGCCATTTAAATCTCTCCTTACAAAATTTGAATCTGTATCCCTTGGTTCTGGAGAAAATTTTGACAAAGTGAGCAGGTATAATTTGTGACTATGGCAGGATCTAAACTGACAAAGTTGGAGAATAAGGTTATTCTTCATTATAATGTTATCATTGTGTGTGCATATGTTCCACAGCAAATATGTGGAGGCCATAGGTCAATTTTGTGACATCAGTTCTTTATTATCTTTTAACTGTTGATCACTGACCCAACTGAAAGTCATTCATTCATATTGTCCATATTTTGCATCATTTCAAAAAATTAGGTGCAAGATTAACATCGATATTCATAGCAGTAAATGAAAAATATTCTTTGAAATACTGGAAACTATAATAATTTTCAAATTAATCCTGAAAGTAGTGTGTAATCAAAGATATGTATGTTAATAGAAACACAGTGAACATGATAGTAAAAAACCCTAAAACTGCTTTACAAGTTCAAAGATATCAGAAGTATCTTCTGGTATCTTCGTATTTCATCTCTCCCTCACTCAGTA